ATACATAATACATACATACGTGCATACGTACATACGTACATACGTACATACGTACATACGTACATACGTACATACGTACATACATACATACATACGTACATACGTACATACGTACATGCATACATGCATATTTTTTATGTAGAACAGGTCTAAGGCAGCCGCCTAGCATCAAGCCGCAAGGAGCCGGGCAGCCGCAAGGGCCACAGCCGCAGCCACCGGGAACCGGTCCGGCAACTAAGCCTCCGTTCAGAGCTCCTGCGAGGAGGGGTTTGGGGGTTTCGGGCTTGGGGGTTTTGGCTTTGAGGGTTTGCAGAGTCCATGCTAGAGGCTTCTGGGGTGAAGCGGTGCGACAGAACCAAAGACTGTCCTGGAAGCTGTTTCGCACCTCCGGAGAAGGCTTACCGTCGTACCAGTGACGCACGAATTCAATGGTCGACACAAAACTCTCTTCGACACAGCGGCCTCCTCCCTTGCCCTTGTCGCCTCTCTTGCCCTTTCCACCCTTGCCACCTGCACAAAAGAGATCAAACCGACTCAACTAAAAGCTTGGCCTCTGTGCTTGCGTTACATCCATGTGGAAAAAGCCTTTTTCTCCATCTCCCGGATCTCCTTTGCCACCTGCAAAGCCATGACAGGACCAGGGCTTCAGGTTTCGCTTGAAGCAGCCCTAAACCCTAAACCCTAAACCCTAGACCCTAAAAGAGGATGCCTGGTGCAGGTCCAGATCCTCCCGCGACGCGGATGGCCTTGGGCTTGCCCGTGCGCTCGTTCAGGCCTTCGTCGAAAGTGACCTGGCACCGACTCAATGCTATGGCTACGGGCTCTTTAGGCCCAGAATAAAAACATGATTTTTCAGAAACCCCTTGGGGTTGATATGGCAGAATGAAACAGATTCGTTTAATAAGGCTACACAAACAACACGGCAAGCCAGTAAAACCCTACCTGCCTTGTCTCCAGCCTGTAGTGTTCCACCAATAACATCCGTGCGCAGAACAAAGAGGTCCTGGCAAGCAGTCTGAAGCTACTTCCGCAACAAATCATGCAGAGAATGCCGGCGCTTGCAGCGATGGCAGCAGGTCCGTGCTGGTTCCGGTGGGAACGATGAATCCGAAGCCCTGCAGGCACACTCGTGCGCATGTGTGTGTCTGTGGGTGTCTGCGCGCGTCGGGGAGTCGTGATGCTCTCTGTTGCGCTACGCATGGCTGGCCTTTGCAGTGTCATACTTCTTCACAACACCGGTCAAGGCCATGATGGTCAAAATCACAAGATCGCAGAGCCTTCCTTACAAGTGCCGACATGTTACCGTGCACTGCGTACGTTCCAAGATGAGACTCAGCTTGTACCCACAGGTCAGCAGCGGATAGCAGCGGCAACGAAAGACTTAGGCGAGTACAAAAACAGTGTCCGATAAAATCTTGATGGCCTTAGGTTTCGAGATGGGCAGCAACGCGCAAGCTCTTCGAAACTCTGAGTCCAAGACCGTCTTCGAAAAAAGGAGGCAAGCTTGCTTCAAGGCTCCCCGGTCGGTTGGAGTCAGGTATTGTAGAGTTGAGTGCAGGCGCTGAGTGGCGCTATCGGAATTGGTCGCATGCTGGACACTGGATGTGAGCTCAAAAACATGATGAAAGCAAGCAAAAGCAACACTTTGTGACACTTCGAGCCATAAGACCCGGGACAGGCAAACTTGCGAACATCCCCTGGCAGTCGAAGTTGGCATGACCCCTCGGAGCGCAGCTACTCGTAGACAGTCCGGAATTGCTTTTGAAAGCGATTGGGCGCCCAGAGTCGATTTGGGAACTGCCGCCTCTGTCACTGGCAGACTGATGCCATGGGCGCTGGGGTGAAAAGGGCGCGCTGCTACGCGCTGCACTGCTACACGTACATGAGCCCACAGTGAGCTCAGCTGCGTGGCCTGTGGTGAAGACAGCTACTTGGAGGTTCATGGGTAGTTTCAAGTATGGTTACAAGTCCCCTAATTTGGGTTATAATCATAGTTACCCTACTTATAACCCCATTTATAACTACCCATGAACCTCCAAGTAATCAGCATGAGGTATAGAATCCACGAAGATAGCACAGCAAAAGGGATGGTAAGCTCTGCGCTAGGCTGGATACCCACCCTGAGCGCCCGCATCCAGCCAGGCCTCACCCAAGTGCTTCGATGGTATGCTTTGCTGCACGCATGCATACGTACATACATATACATACATACATACATACATACATACATACATACATACATACATACATACATACATACATACATATATACATGCATACATGGATGCTTACCTCATATCTAGATACTTACATGCGTACATGCCTACATACCAACATAGCTGCCCGCCTGCACACCTTACATACCTGCATACCTGCATTCCTACATACCTACATGCATGCATGCATACATATGTATACCTGCATATGTATGCTGTATGCACATAACTGCTCTTATGATGCCCTATTCACTGGAGGCTTGCTGAGGTCACGGCTGCCCACTCTGCTGAAATGGTCAGGGCGGGCTCCTTCCCAGCTGAAGAAGTGTACTGGAACCTGCGCAGTTCAGCGACTCGTGCTTTCGGTCTTGGGGTAAAGCGCTGCTGATTCCTCGCTGCCGCCTCTTCTTGTCTGGCGTCCAGATGTCAAGGTTCCAGTTGTCGTTTTGGATTGACCTGGGTGCTGAATCAAGCAAGCTTCACACTGTTCCGCACCGGCTGACACGATGCTGCTGTTCAAAGGGCTCCTGAGTCTTTCTGGGGACTTGGCCACTTTCTCATGATGCCAGTGTTGTCCTCGGCGCGGGCTCAGGTGTCATGGCTGTGCGCAGGCTTGGCAACCCGAAAACTATGCTGATGAAATAATTGCTGTGGTGCAAAGTCCGTTCAAAACAGCCGTCTTGCAGTCAGGGCACCACTTCGTATGCATCTGCCACCACAACCTGACAGGTGTCTGCTTCTGCTTCTGACAGTATGTGACTGAGCTGTCTCAGCATCTGATAGCCACACATGTTCAAAGAGGTCAAAATGCCGTCCCGCGGGTGACCATCTTACTGCCTAAAGTCGCCTCATTGATAGAAGGAGGAGAGCTGGTTAGCACACGCGCGCAGCACACAGCAAAAAGCTCCCCGATGCGTGGCTCCCCCTGTGGTACGGTGCATATCTTGCAGTATTTTGCACTCGCTTCCCATGGTGTACAGAGGATCCGCTTGTTGCCATCTACCGGGGAGTCGGAAGCGATGTAAATTGAAAATTAATGGGCCACTTTTCCTTCGAACACCCTAATCGCCGCAGTTCATGGATTTGGGGTCTCTTTCTGACCCACGCCGCCAGTTAAGGGGAAGTCCCGATTCCCGTCCGTACTTGAGGGAAAGCATTTCGGCCGTCGGGTCCTGGCAGTGCTGGTGGTGGTCGGGGTTGTCATTGTGGTCGTGATGGTCGTCGTGGTGCTCTTTCACTGTTTGGGGATCGACGCTGGCAGAATAACATTGCTCATGGCATGAGCGCAGTTGGCTCGGCTTGATCAGTGGTTACTACGGATACTGCTGAAACATGCTGAAACTACGTAGCCAGATTTTTACACACGCCGACCTACACATTTTTTGGATGATTTGTGGAGTGGGAGAAGCAGAACAGGTTGCTGCCGTGTCCCCTAAATAATAGGATCCTTACTATAAGGACCCCAAAATAAGGTATCCCAAATTTTCGGAAAGTCCCAAGTACTCGCCTCCGTCTGCTTGGCTACTTCCAGCACCGCAGCTCGGAACCCCTTCGCTGCCGGGGCAGCCTCGGAGAACCTGGCAGCACAGAGCCTGCATACTAAACTAGCTCCGAAACTTGTCGCTCGTAACGATATGCAGAAACACGTGCGAAATGGATTGGCAAGCTAGTTATATCTTTTCGAGTTTCCTCAATCTCTTCACTTGCTCTGCAACCTTGTCATGGTTGTTCTTCTCCTCTTCATTTCTTTAGCTCATACGAAATAACAGCATTTAAGAGTGCATCTTCGGGCGGCCATATTCGCAGGTATGTGAGCTAGGCAGCTAGGCGTCTCCAGCTCATGTCAGTGATCTGTAACAGCCTCTTCGTTGGACTGCCACTGCTACAGACCAGGTAATCCCCATGGATCATGCAATCCCCTTGGCAACAGCGCTTCACACACACACACACAGACATGCACGCAACTCAAGATGCCGCAACCTCCACAATATCCGACATCATGGCGCAAACGACGATTTTTCTGCACGCCCCATCAGCTCAAATCTGCATGCAGCTCAAGCTCACGCCCGGCCGAGCTTGGGAAACAGCGAGGTCTATTCGGTTTAGGGTTTAGGGCTTAAGGGCCATGCAGGATTTAAGGCTTAAGGGTTGGTGCGTAAGCTGGGGCTGATTGCTATGTCCGTCCACACTTTCCCGATTCAGCCACGCCAAACTTGAAACCCGATCTCACCGCACTCGGCACCTCAGGAAAGGACGACATGAGTCCAGAATACACATCCTGTGCATCTGCAGGGCGAGCCTAAGCCCTCCGCCCGAGTTGCCTCCCCCGCGGCTTCGCTTGCGCCGCTTGTGTCACTCGAGTCTCCTGTGTGCACGGCCTCGGAGGCATGGCAAAGATCTGCCAGAACGCACGACTTGTTCTCTCTCCCTGTTGAAGATCCCTGGTGCGCCAACAAAAACCTTCCTCATGTCCACCAACGCTGTAGAGAAAACACGAGGTACGGACTTGACTGGCATTCGGGCAAAGCTAGGTGCTCGATAGGACCCTATCGCTTGCTGCCGCCTCTCCTAGGGTTTAGAGGGGCAGTGACTTCGCCGGCTCAGCTCTTCGCCATCTATACTGCCGTTGACCCCAATTAAGGTCAGCGCATGACTTGCTGGGAGGCCCACGAGGAGCCAGAAGCTACCTAGCATGGCTTGAGCAGGAACTGTGTGACACAACTCAGATCGCTATAATATACGATAACATAAGTTAGTATGCTATAACGTACTTTAGTATACTATCAGATGCTCTAGGACACCAGTATATACAGTTATATACCCTATATATATATATATATGTGTGTATATATATATATAACATATATATATATATATACATATACATATACATCTACATATACATATACATACTTATAGATAGATAGATAGATAGATAGATAGATAGATACATAGATAGATAGATAGATAGATAGATAGATAGATAAATAGATAGATAGATAGATAGATAGATAGATAGATAGACAGATACTAACATCATAAATATATATATATATAAGCATATATATATATATGTTAATTTATTTATACATGAACACTCCAGAAGCTAAAGTGTGGGATGCTCGATCATCAGCGCCTGAGAGCAGCCAAGCGCCTCGGCCGGCGAGGCATCTCCCCGAGGCTCCCTAGCCTCGGAAGCTCCGACAGCCACGGCTTTAGGGTTTAGGGTTTACGGTTTAGGGTTTAGGGCTGACAACCCCTCAGAAAACCGAGCTCCAGTTCAAGACAGAGTCGTATCTTATGGCATTTCTATAGTATCGAAAAAGTATCCTTGTAGTGTCTTATACTATCTTGTAGCATCTTCTCGCATACTATAGTTTACCATATACTACTGTAGCAATTTTGAATACATCGTTACATCGCAGTATATTATAGTAGATGAAGGTACAATGTATAATCTTATGATATAAGATGCCACTTCAAGGCTTTCGCCCGGAGCGGACGTGGCGCATCCGCAATGGCCATGGCCTCGGCACTCCGTGGCGCAGGCTTCTCAGACCTTCATAGGCTTGGTCATCTTACAGCCAGCCCGGCCTGCTGCAATGGTACCAGATGCCTCTTGTCGTTGCTGGAACGGCACCTACGTATCCAATGAACAACTATACAAAGCGCTCGGAGCTGCACAAGCTCAGCCCAGGCACAGCTTCAGGCTTCGTAGAATCGCCTTGTTTTGGGACAGGTCATGACCGGGGTCATCGCCCATGTCTATTCAGTCTATTCAGTTCAGACCCTCTGGCATGCCTGCTCCAAGTACAGGTAGACATCTTGGTTTGGAATCTCGGTCCCGTGGTGCAGCTCCAGTCCTAAGCCACTCTCCTATCACTAAGGCAGAGGCACGAGAGATCGACTGCAGAGCACGCGGCCCTCCAAGGAGACCTTCACACCACCTGAGAGTTCTACTCGAGACGTGGCAAACAGCCGGTGAACTCAACCGCAGTCCCCGGCATGCGGCGGTCTCATCTTGCCAGTCCCTCAGGCTGGGTGCGAAGTCTTCTCCCGAAGGCCTGGAGCTGCGGGGACCCGGCGGGGACCCGGGGACCTTTCCATGACAGCTGCGCAGGCTGCACACCGCTGAGGTCGCTGCAACGACTCCGCCCCGACCACGTGATCCTGCCGCTGAAGCAGCTGCACCGAGTTCCCTGTCTTGCTAGTTGAGTTGAAAGGAATCACAGACTCCCAAGACCCAAGAAGGTACTCTCAGCTTCATCTTGACGTTCTGACTTGTCCCTTTGCTCTACTGTTGTGTTCTCGGGGCCTCTTGTTGCGAAGGTGATGGGCAAGCATCTCAGGTGTCGCTTCTAACAGCGGGCCGGACAGCCAAGCGGCAAAGACAGTCGAATGGCAAGAAGCGTCACTGGTCTCAGATTGTCGAAACTGGAGACTGGTTTGCACACGAGGGCTGCATTGATTGGCGCTTACAGCATGCGATTCTCTGATCACCGGGATGTGAAGGGAATGGAACACTGTGCTCTCAGAATGAGAGACTTTCTGTCTTGATGTCTTGAAAGACTCTCCATGTTGAGCAAAGACGACTCCGGTAAGCACGAACGTCAACGGATGCCGTCAGGGTTTGTCACAGCTCCTGTAGTGAGGCGCGGTGCAGCACCACGACTGCCACCGCGTCTTCGATCCAGACGCTCCTATGCAGTCGGCCAGAATGTCGCTCAACGTCACAGAGATAATTATGCTTTGCTCTCAATCTAGGGGTGCCTTGTCGGGTCTCCTTGTAAGGATCCATTAAGATCCTACCGCATTAGGGGTCCATAGTTGGTTCCCACAATCCAAAACCCTAAAGCCTTTTAAAGCCCCAAGACCTCCCAGAGTGTCTAAACCCTAAACCCAAAACCCGCAGCCCTAAACCCTAAACCCTAAACCCTAAACCCTAAACCCTAAGCCCTAAAACCCTAAACCCTAAGCCCTAAACCGAGTGTCCTGCGGCCCATGAGCTTTGCATGTGCTTGCGCAAGGCGGACGAGGCCTCGAGACACGGAGGGAGTTTGGGGATGCTTGGGGTGTTAGGATCCCCGAGTTGCCCTAGGATTCTAGGTTATCTATGTTTAGGGTTTAGGGTTTAGGGTTTAGGGTTATCTATGTTTTAGGGCCGTTGAGAGGGCTTGGGGCGGAAGTGTCGAGGCTTTGCCATGAGATCTCTGCGATCGAGGTGCTCTCAAGTGTGCGCGCGGTGACGCCGCCACCGCCGCCACCAGAGTTCAAGGACGTCGACCGCAGCTTCTGGAAATACCTGGTTCAGGGTTTAGGGTTTACGGTCACTCCCGCGTCAGATGAGAGATTGGTAGCTTTGTGCGATGCGTATGAGCTTCTCAACTCTCAACTCGTCCCCTGTCAGTCTGCAGGGCGCGTCTCCAGCAAGAGCGCTGCCCCTGGCTCATCGTCCTAGCGGAATGCTGCAGCCGGTGGTGTATATGCAAAAAATATCACATCAGGAATGTCAAGGAATCTTGGAGAGTCCTCGTCAAGCAGCTTGTCTTTTGCCCACATCAGGTACTCGCGCAGCCTGTCACACTGTCACAAACTTACATGAACGGAGATCTGCGACTCAGACGAGCCTGGCATGGTCCCAAACCGGAGGCTTCTCCACGGAGCTCGGGCCCTCGGCTTCATGGGAGCTCGTAGAACATAGAAGCTCTCGGCCTGCATCTCATCGCGGAAACCGAGGCCGGCGCCGTGCTTTCAAGGATAAACTCGGCCTTGTCGCTCTCCGTGGCACCACCCTCCGCAAGCGGTCGAATTGCGGATCTCCGTGGATTGACACGACGTGCGGCAGAGACATGCCCAGCAGTATGTGCCGAATGCATGAGTTGGCCCGCGCGGCTTTCCGGCCTTCCCGCCCTCTGCAAACCTTGGCAGGTGTCTTTCAGCATCGTCTCATAAGACCAGCACCGGCAGTATGAGCAACAGAAGCAGCATCTGAAGAGTCTGAAGCTGGGAGATAGCAGATGCAGGACTCTCCACGTGCCAGACAAAAGAATCGAAACGAAGTCTGACCAAGGGAGCCACACGACGACCAGGTCGAAGCGGCTGAGCAATGGCGGCGGCAGGCCGGAGTTCACCGCCAAAGAGGACTTAGCAATGGCAGCTTAATGCAGCTTAAGCGGCAAAGCGAGCTCTCGGAGGGCCGACAAAACATCCGCAGGCGCTTTTCTGGAGGCGAAATACAACTGTGGGGCTGCACCTCTGTTAGAGCAGCCCCCAGACTGCACAGCCCTTGCTTGACGTCGCTAATAACGCGACGGACCGAAACGCTGCCTCATCAAATCTGTACCAGAGGAGACGAAAGCAAACAGCTCCTCCTGCAGGCGCCGTGGGTACTCTTGGGCCTCACTGTCCGACTGTCCCTCCGAAACATCTGGCGACGTGGCGCAGGCCCGAGCCGCCAACTCCTTCAAGGAGGGCAACGTCAGGACCGAGAGGACAGGCTTTTCAGGGATCCTACGCAGCACCATCAGCACCGCCCTGGCGTTCTCCCGCTGCAGAGAGATCGCAGTCCTCATGGGGCATCCTCAGCATTCCTCAGCACTGGAACCTGGATTGCGGACATCCTTCAAAGCTGCAGGAAGAATCGCAAGCACACACGGGACGACAGCACGCCAACGATGGAGCCGTCGCTGGCGTAGCCCCCGTAGATGATGGGGGCCGTGACAATTTCCTCATCGAAGTTGAAGACGAAGTGCTTTTCAAGCTTCAAATTCATGATCTCAGTCACAGCCAGGATCTGCTTCTTCTCGCCTGCGTCAACGGGACCCTCATCGCCCTCATCGTCCGCATTGAAGCCCGTCTTCAACTTGGCCCTCACGTCTAGGGGCTCCAGCGTTGCAAAGGCCCACACGCCGGAGAGTTCCGGGTCTGTCGGGTCAGTGAGTTCACGGATAATTTCGTCGTCAACCATCTTGCGAATGCCCAGCGCCTTGAGGCAGGCCTTCTTGGGATCCGACCCAGGCTGGCCAATGACTATGATCTCACCACCATCAGAGGCGTCGCTGGAGCTGCAAATTTTGAACTTCCCGAGACCCGGTGCAGCGTCCTTCATGACAGCGGCGACGTTTTTGGCAACTTCAGGAGCATCGGCCATGTCGGCGTGCTTCCGATCTCCTCCATGTTCATCCACCAGGCTCTCTTCACTTCTAAACGTCTCTTCGGGCTGCAAGCTCCAGCCGTCTCTTCGATCTGCAAGCTCGGTAAACGTACAGGCGTCCGACAGGTACAGCACCGGCACGGAATCTGGTTGCGAGCGGATGACATCGCCTTGGTGCGAGCGGATGGCATCACCGCATGCGAAGATGGCCGCCAGGGCTAGGCAAAACAGGGTACCACGGGCAGCCATGGAGCACGAAGATCGATTTGGCAAAAAACGGGCCAGCAGTCAGAGAAATCAGCTCTCAGCGCTTGAGCCATAGCCGTTTCAGGAAGACAGGGCATGTACTTGGGTTCAAGATCTCAGGCAGAGATGACAAGTTAAGCACGCGACACTGAGATCGCAGGCCGCCTTTTTTCCGGTCCCGGTGGGAGAGGTGATGACGCTAACGACTTGGCTTCAGTGTTACGTCTTGGCCGGCACATCCTCAGCACTGGAACCTGGATTGTCGACATCCTTCAAAGGTACGAATCCCTCGACCAAGTGTCGCTCGCTGCAGGGCCATCGCTCGCCACTCTATGTCCACACACGGGACGACAGCACGCCAACGATGGAGCCGTCGCTGGCGTAGCCCCCGTAGATGATGGGGGCCGTGACAATTTCCTCTTCGAAGTTGAAGACGAAGTGCTTTTCAAGCTTCAAATTCATGATCTCAGTCACAGCCAGGATCTGCTTCTTCTCGCCTGCGTCACCGGGACCCTCATCGCCCTCATAGGCCCCATTGAAGCCCGTCTTCAACTTGGCCCTCACGTCTAGGGGCTCCAGCTTTGCAAAGGACCACACGCCGGAGAGTTCCGGGTCTGAAGGGTCAGTGTGTTCACGGATGCTGTCGTCGTCAACCATCTTGCGGATGCCCAGCGCCTTCAGGCAGGCCTTCTTGGGATCCGACCCAGGCTGGCCAATGACTATGATCTCACCACCATCAGAGGCTTCGCTGGAGCCGCAAATTTGGAACTCCCCGAGACCCGGTGCAGCGTCCTTCATGGCAGCGGCGACGTTCTTGGCAACTTCAGGAGCATCGGCCATGTCGGCGTGCTTCCGAGCTCCTTCATGTGCATCCACCAGGCTCTCTTCGTCCCCACACTTCCAGCCGTCTCTCCGATCTGCAAGCTCGGTAAACGTACAGGCGTCCGACAGGTACAGCACCGGCACGGAATCTGGTTGCGAGCGGATGGCATCGCCTTGGTGCGAGCGGATGGCA